AACACCTTTGCATAATCAATGAAGCACAGATAGACATTCTTCTGGTACTCGCTGCTTTCAGCCAATATTCATCTGACATTAGCTACAATATCCCTAGTACCATGACCTCTTCTAAACCCAGCCTGGACTTCTGGCAGTTCTCTGCTGATGTGCTGTTCCAGTCGTTTTGGGATAATCTTCGGTAGAATCTTGCTTGCATGTGAAGTCAACGATATTATTCTACAGTTTCCACACTCTGTTGGGTCACCCTTCTTTGGAATGGGAACAAATATAGATCTCTTCCAGTCAGTCGGCCAATTGGTTGTTCTCCAGATTTCTTGGCACAACTTGGTGAGCACATCCAGGGCAGCATCTGTTAGCTAAAATATGTCAATTGTTATATCTTGTATTCCTGGACCTTATTTTTTGCTATTTTTATTATTATTATTATTATTCAGTATCTTGATGGATTTTGGTTTTTATCCAATTTGCTACTCTTTTTCTATTCAGTGGTGCATTTAAACCATTCACATTTAGTGTGATTATTAAGAGTCAGGGTTTTATTGTTATAACTTTGTTGAGTTCTTTTTGGTGTTGTTGCTAGTTACACTGGTTCATCTTGCTTTCTGTGGCACCTTTGTAAAAAGGATATTTCTCATTGTTTCATGAAACACTGGTCTTATTTTTAGAAACTCCCTTAGGTTCTGTTTTTCTGGGAATATCATGATGTCTTCTTCATATTTGATGGATAATTTCGCTGGGTACAATATTCTTCGTTGACAGTTGTGTTGAGTATTGGATATATGTCATTCCACTGTCTTCTTGCTCACATGGTTTCTGCAAAGTAATCAGCACTTAATCTTATCTGCTCTCCTTTTTAGATTACTCTTTGTTTCTCCCTTGCTGCTTTCAGAATTCTCTCCTCATCTTTGTTTCTGGCAAATTTGACTATGATATGCCATGGTGTTTTTCCTTTGGGGTCTATTCTATATGGTGTTCACTCATTTTCTTGAATATATATCCTCTCATTCTTCACTATGCCTGGGAAGTTTTCCTCTAGTAATTCTTCCACAACGTTTTCAGTGTCTTTACTTGCTTCTACCTTTTCTGGGATTCCGATGATGTCCATGTTATTTCTCTTGATGGTTTCACACATTTAGGTTGTCTTCTTTTTCCTTTCTTTTTGATTCTGCTTTTTGCTCCAGCAGATCAGTGGTGACAATTCTTTTATTTCACTAATTCTGTGTTCCATCTCTTCATCTCCGTTCATGTGTCCCTCTATCATGTTGACAGTATCTGAAACATTGGCCCTAATATTTTGGATCATGATTTCTTGTGTTTACAGAGACTCAAATGCCTCATTTTTTTATCTGCGTTGTTTTGGAATTTTTTTTTATGGTCCTCCTGGTTTTTGCTTGCAGTGTCCTGCAATTCTTCAAGATTGTCTTCCATCCATTGAAAATATTCTATCATTGTTCTTTTAAATTATGTGTCAGAAAGTTCCATCAGACATCCTGGGTTCAGGAGATCCATTGATACTGTGTCACTTTGGGTGGGTAAATCTTGCTTTGTGTTTGTTTAGGTTGTGAGGTAGAGTGCTTCTTTTGTGACACTGACATGGTAGAGTTTTTCATGCCTGAGGAGATAATAGGTCCTTGATTTGAAATCATTAGGTATAGGTGGGTGTAGTGTAGAGGTAAGCATAGCATAGAGTTGGGCATAAGGTAGAGGTGGGCGGAGCACAGAGGTGGGTGGCCAGCACAGAGCATGAAGGCAGGTGCCAGGCAGCATGTTGGTGGGTGACAGGCCTTGGGTGGGAAGACAGGCAGCAGGCACAGAGCATAGGGGTGGGCAGCAGGCACAGGGCATGGAAGTAGGTGGAGGGAGCAGGTCATTGAGGGGGGTGCTGAGGCTGGATGAGGGCACAGGCACCAGGTGCAGGCACAGGCACATTTGTCAGGTGCTGGCGCTGGAGATGCCTGGTATGCACACAGTTGTATGCTGGGCAGGGGGGTGCACACAATCTTTTGCTGATTTCACATGTGCAGGGACCTTAGTCAAATTACAGCTCTCAGGCCATGCTACATTCCTGCTTCCTGTTCTTTCTCTTGGCATATAGTGCCTGTTTATGAATATTTGGGCATCCTGACATTGAAAAGGGGCCACAATCATGCCATAGAGGGACATTGCTAAACCACAGAAATTTAACCTGGTGCCACTGAGTTGATGTCTACATATGATAACCCATGTGTCACAGTAAAAATCTTTTCCAGAGAGTTTTCAAAGGCTATACTCTTTCAAAAATATATAGCCATGGCTTTCTTCCAAGGCATCTCTGAGAATATTCAGCTCTCTAAACTTTCTAATGTTAGTTAACTGATTTTTTTTGTGCCAGACTTGAAATCCTGAGCCAGTGGGCATCATGTCAATTCTGATCCATGGCAACCCTATGACAGGTTAAAGTAGATATTTGCTCCATAGAGTTCTGAATGGCTAATTAATAGATCATCAGGCCTTTTTTCTGAGGCACTGTACATGTACTTTACCCTCCAAACTTTATTTTAGGAAGTTTTATTTTACTATCAGAGCTTTGGTGACACACTCTGTAGCATATTTCCATATATCGCTGGCACTTTAAATACTCTGTGGAAGAATGATGGACAGTCTCCTTCCTTTAAAAATCTATATAGCCTGAGAAATGTGAGGGAGGGTCACTATGAGCTGGAATCTACTTGATGGCAAAGAGGGTGGTTTTCATTTTTTAGTTTACAAACGGGCCACTGCTATTTTTACCACCATCCAGAATTTGGTTCTATTTCTCAACTGGTTCCAAACTGAGAGATAAAATGCAATATACATAGTGCTTTTCAACACCATGGATCTGTGGCACCCTGCCAGGTGGAGATCAAGAGCAGAGAAAGAGCACAGTGAAGATACTGAAAAGGGAAACACAAGTCAGAAAGCACTTCCATGGCCTGGCTCAGCCACTGCATCACACTTACAGTTTTGTCCTTCCCGGCTTCCAGGAGAGCATCCAGGCAGCAACTCTGGCTCACAGTCACATCAACAGTCAGTTTCTGAAGCCAGCTGATGGCAGCAGTTATTGATCCTTCTGTCACTTCCACAGCATTTTCCTGCCATTTCACAGGTTCTTGAGAAACCCTGAAAGCAATAACATGGGGCTGTCACTGGCCAGTGGTCATGGCTACAAGGAGAAAGCTAGCCATCAGCCTCAGAGCTCTAAGTGACAAGATGCCTGGTGTTCTTCTCCTGAGTGGGGAAAGGATGACAGTACAGTTCTTCCAGCCTTCAGAAAGTGACTAACAAAAGGGCAAGGTATTTTAAGGAAAATGGTCAAAGCACCATTACTATAATGGAAATTCATTGCTGTCCAGTTGAAGCCAACTAAAGAGGACCCTCCAGTGGGGTTTCAGTGGCTCTAAATCACAGAAGTGGCATCCACTTCCTAAACAACATGTCTCTGAAAACTATGAACTTTGAGAAATGATGATAGTTATAGAAAGACTTCAGGTCTTTTGTTCATAGGGTCGCTCTGAATTGTGCACAACTCAACAGCAATCAACAACAACAAGAAATCACATAGGAGGAAAATTACGATCTTTCTCCCTTGGAACCAATGGTATATTTGAACCATCAGTGTGGCCATTGGTTAGGAAGGAGTTCAACCCTGTAAGGATTAGGCCACCATACACCATAATGAATAGGAAAAAACTTTCATTATTTTTGTTTTACAAACATACATACTGTTTCACATAGGGTCCCAGGAATAGATGGCATACCAATTGACATATTTCAGCTAACAGATGCTGCCCTGGATGTGCTCACCAAGTTGTGCCAAGAAATCTGGAGAACAACCACTTG